CTAGTCTGAAACCTATCGCATGCACTCGCAGATCTAGAAACTTCGACAGGCAATGCCTGACGAACAAACGAAGGGAAACTAAATGCGGCTTTCTACCCTGAAGCACGCACCGGGACCAAAGAAAAGTTTTCAAAAGTGAATTTCGAAGGCTTAAACTTCGGTTAATTCGAAAAGTTCTCTGCAAGGCTAATGATAAACCGTTTCCGTGAAATATCCATAAGAAAGAAAGCGATAGCACTTTGGTATTAGATTCATGAATTCCACGCAGCGAGCACTACCTTTATAGCCATATACGTCGTATAAATGCGTCTAACCATGCTGAAAGCGTTCTGCTGCATTATGAAATTACAAACATATTTATTTTATACATATATATCCTTCAGCTTCAACTATTATTTGAATGCTAAAAGTTCGGTAATAGATTGCTATCCAAAATGTAAATTTCATACTTACTTCGTGAAGAACGAGAAACAACCAAAATGAGGTATCAATTCAAATTATAAAATGAACGATATGATCACGGCAAATATTGCTTTGTGGCCTAGAGGATTACGAGGCGACATCGAACTGCACGAAAAGCCATAAAGGCTCTTGAAACATGATTTATAACGGGCAAGGTGTTCAGTTAGACTGTAAAATGAGGCAAGATACGTCTATGCACTGAAGATACTTAAATATTAGGCAGCTATGGCCTGTTTAAATGGTCCGTCAGGAACCTGAAAGCAAGGAGACGATGTAATAGCCCCAAGTTAGCCATTAGATGGAATCATGCTTATTTAATGGTTCTGTTTATGTCTTACCTTTTGCTGTTCAATGCATTGATCTATACGGTATCAAGACTATCAAGAAACAATTATGCAAGAATAGCTATCAAAACATAGATTAAAAGTTGAGTAAATTGCACAGGTAAAGGGAAAGTCAACGGGAAGTTGCCGAGTTGAAAAATTGCCAACATTAGCATCCGTTCATAGTGATAATGACGTCACGCACAAGTTTATACAACGTTATTAAAACGAGTTTTCTGATTTTGATCATCCAAGTAATGCAATATATATACGTTGGTCTCTTCTCGTCCACTTCTGTCATATTTCGGTTCCCAAACGAGAAGCTCACTGGCTGAAGTCAGTGATTTATGTTCAAATAGTTTGTCTAATTTGGCCAATCTCCTTTTCCTGATCTCTACATCTGCCGAGGGAGCCTGTGTCCGAAAGAGAATACAGTGATTACTTTCGTAATCCTGTCATTTGACTCACATTACGCATCAAAGCCAACGTTGCTGTGCGCAGTTCAACTGTCACTTTCGCTTCTTCGTTTGAATAACTGTCTCCATGCCGTACAGCAACACTGACCGGACAGACGCAAGGTACAGGTGGATTTTCGTGGGAAGAATAACTGCTTTCTCAGCCAAACTAATTGACAGCCTTCCAAAAGCACTCGAGGCGAGGGCGTTCCTACTGTTTAACTCTGGCTGGGTAGTACCATCCCTGGAGATGATACGAATAATCTCTCGCAACTCACCACATATGTTAATATTGGAATTATTGTTGCTGTTGCGGTTTTGTCGTCGTCATTGTAGATAACAAACATTAAACCGAATAATAATCTAGGTCAGTTTTGCCTGACCTTTAAAAGTGGCATCTCACATTGATATTCGACAACTATGACTGTGACAGCAAAGATAATGTTTCGTATTGTCCTCAAACGCGCCTACGACCGGTTGGGAGTTCCAACGTTAGAAAGGTTTGGAAAGATCCCCATCTTCTTTTAGGGCCGTTTTGTCGAACCAAGCCAGGCAGGCGCCAGTTCCTGTTCTGTTCCTGTGGCAGATTTTCTCAGAACGGCGTCAGCACTTGATCGTTGGTTACTCAGTGGTCCCATCGCACTTTGAGGATGTCTGGCAGACAACGTTGTTGGGAGTCATCTAGACTGGCTTCGTGTCGTTTCAGGACATCAGGTCACTCCGTCAAGGAGCACCGTGAATCCACCTACTTTCAGAATGGTGATATTCAGATCAATTCTTATAGCTCGATCCTTCTCTATTTCATACAGCTTGCGAAATTTCATCGATCTGTTATGCCAGTTCACTTCAGGATCAATGTCGTCATCGTTAGTCAACCCAGTTCTGAAGTACTTGAAAAGGTCCACACAGTCCATCGTAATACCATCCCATAGTATGGCCACAGCGAGCATCCTCACAGTATTTGTCTTTCAGCACTGAGTTGTAGTCCTTGTCCCACCGCCGTGTTGCACACGCTTTTGATGAGTTTCAAAGAGCACTTGCTGAGTCGATCAGCAACACAGTGTCATCGTCAAACTTAAAATCCGGTTGAGGTACCACAGATTACCTCAATCTGTGTCGCTGACCGACAGCCAGTCTCTCGTGGCAATTTGGGGCAAAGCTATTTTTCAAGACTCAGTGTACTCGCTATCATGCTGAACAACAAAGAAGAGGGCATTTCACTTTAACGAATATTTTATATTAATTTTCGCGGCGATATTGAATCAATCCGGCGATGATTCAGCTAAATTGACTGATATTTGTTCGTTCAGTCTCATATTTTGTTAATTGATTTGTGATTGTATTGTAAAATATTGCCACATTTTACCTTTCATGCAATTGTATCAAAAACACTACATCATTTCTATTCATGAGAGAGTGACAGTGCGCTTCGGAAAATCACAAATGCGGCATGGTGTCATTTTCATGCGGTTTCGGGTTGGCCCGCATCGCTGATAATGCGGCGCTCGTCGTTCGTCCAAACAGCGACAAATGGACCGAAAACATCAAACGGTCGCTTAGAACCGACGACGGGCGCGGCCCCACCAATCACATGAGTCAACTCAACCTGCACGCAAGTGACACATTGCAAAACTCATTATTCTGAAGACTGGCCGAGTTTCGCCCAAATCATTGGTACCTCTATATAACGATTATGATAAGCTATTTTATGCGTTGTTATCCCGAGTGTGTGTGTGTGCGTGCTTGACTTTCTGAAGCATATTGTTCATGCAGTTAATAGCAAATACTCCACAGGACGAATAAACTCTTGCTCAACCCCCTTGGCAGTGTCATTTTGTAGAAATCTACCGGCTTTATTTACGGACTTGTGTAACTAGAAGTGACGCGCTTGACAACGAACAAACTTTCTGATGTCCTGAGATCATTCGCGACTGCCTAAAATACGTTTATCAAGCGGATACTTCACTCGTACAAAGTTCGTCTAAAGCAACTATCCACTGGTCAAGGCAAAACATCAATCATGCGAGGACGAAACGCTTCGACCGTCATGCACAGCCCAAGGGGCATCAAACGGTTTCTTCGGCAAAAAAAACTTTCGGCGCCTTCCCGTAGGTACGCGAACAGTTGACAGTGCCTATCTGAAGACGGAGCTGATCGGTACAGTGCTACATGATTTGCACGACGTATCGTCTGAGGGAACACAGTGTGCATGCAACGGTTATGAACGCTGCTTTTTAAACCGTTAACCGCTGACGTCAGTTTTATGACGTATCGTCGGCTTCGTTGGTCACCGTGACGACGCGGTTTTGTAACACATCTCGAAAGTTGGCCAATGATGCGATGAACAGTTTTGCTTTCATATGCCGTCTTTTCAAGCGATTCAAAGGCTTCACGAGGCGTAGAGCACACAGCCACTTCGCGATTGACATTAGTGACGAAACGAGCTTGTCGACGAGGTAAGTGCAATTGCGTCCGTTAAACGGCGTTTCCCACTTTTTCCGAGTTCAAGTAGGGCAGTTGGCCGTTTATCAGCGATTTCCAACGCAGGTATGACGAAGGAGGCAAAAACAGCAACACGTGAATGAGTTACAAACTTGTCTTTGAAAGTTACTGCCGCTTCGGTGCCAACGGATAAGAAGACAAAGTGTATAGCTACAGCTTAAAGGTGATGCGCACGTAATCAGACGGGAGTTCGCGTTTAAGAGCCCGAACCCAAACGATGCCTATTATCGGAGACAACATCAGGCGGAAGCAGAAACGCTACGACGTACGCCATACCGTTTATGAATTATGTCAATGAAATTTTAGGTTAATAAAACTAGACTGAAACTGTGAACATGCATGCTGATATCAAACGATTAAAATCATATTAACAGCAGCATGCACTAGAGCTCGCTATATATTATGCTCCGTGTCTTAAGCGCATCGAGCGAATCGACAGACACATACATGCTCATTTCATTGTTCACGGGGTAACACAATGATTGCAAATAATATACCAATAAATGATTGTTAAAACAGATGCGGTAATCAAAAACTACAACGAACGCTGTCATGCTTGTTGTTGTCACATTAAATCGTGGAATATTTGTGTGTAGCTCAGAGCTAAAAATCATTCTACGACTACTCAGTTTCCGCGGGAAGCACCACAGGAAAGCTGCAAACTTTATGGCAGGTTTTCACTCCGATGCGGAAGAGTGAAGTAGCTTCGATCGATACTTTCAGACGTGACGTCCAGGTAGTCGATTCTGGGCTTGGCTCGATCGGCAATGTGATGTGCGCCAAGTAAAAGCGAATTGCCAGTTCCATGTGTTCCTCAAGACGACGTCCATGCCTTACCTCGCCTTCGGTTTCTGTTTCTGGACTCCTGTGCGAACTGCCTCTCGACGAGCTGTGACGGCAAGGAATATCGGCAGCCACAACAGTGCGTGCAGCATGCCGATGGAAACGACCAACACGATCGTTCGGAAAAATATGCGAATCATATATGAGCGCACAAGTCCCAGCGGAAGGGCAGCGGCCAATGCGGTTAATCCGCCTTGCAGAATCGACCAACCGACCTTGCCTAGAGTCAGCTTGATTTTCTCATCGGCGTTCGATTCTTCCAGTTTGTAATAACAGTGACAAATATGTGTCGCGTACTCGACCGGAAAGTCGAGACTCATTATAATGTTAATTACGGAAACGGGATTTAGTGTCACTCCCCACAGAGACAGGAATCCGATGACGCCGAGGTCCATGGATGCCAGCGTCAGACTCACCCAGAAGATGCTGTCGTAATTCGGTATGAAAAATGCAGACATGAAAATCATGCAAAAGATCCCGATGCCCACAGTTTGTATTGTGTTGTCCGGACAGCCAATGACGAGGTCCCACATCGCATTGTCCGGGATAAAAATACTCACGTCGTACTTGTCGTACTTTTTGATCTGTACACGTAGCTGTTTCAACAGGTCTGTCATTTTCGACCAATGACCAGACGTGTTGTAATAACTTTGGAACTGGAACCTGCCAATGACAATCTTTCCGCTTTCGTTCTTGTACCATCTGATATCCGGCGCGTACGTTTGGTACTGAAACATGTTCAGGAACTCTTCGAAGCGTTCGTACGGGTCTGCCGATCTGACGGTGTCGATTTCGATGAAACGAAGATAGTCTTTGAGCCAGAGCAATGACGTGTCGGCTCCTCGGGAAAACTTGTGCGATTCCAGCAACGTCACCAGCCCCATGAAGTTATCGACGTCCTCTTCGCTGGTCAGATCCGGTGGCCGCTGGACGTGTACCGTCACAGTCACGACCGTCCGCTCAAAGTTGTACTTGTAATAGAAGTAAGGCTTCAGAGGCGAATCGTCTCTGAGCAGCATCGACACGTTCATGTCCACCTGCAGGTGACAACAACCCCAGAACGAGATCAGCAAGTAGACGATGAAAGCCACGACCGACAGTCGTCGTGCCCACCTGTTGTTCAGTACTGGCGCGTAATACTCTCTGAACAACATATCCATGGTTAGCGACGGAGGACTGTGCTTGGCTACGTGCTCTTCGTCTGACACTCTGCTACGACAGACGCAAAACAGATTTTTCTGGTTGCGGTACTCGCGTTCTCCCGACAGCAGAATCACACCGGCGAAGAAGGTAATCTGGTACAAAAAATCGAACGCCATCGTCACGGCCGTATAAATACTGAACCCCTTTATTGCCAAGGTGTCGGTCATCGTACCGATGCTGAAAAGTGCGATGTCGGTCAGCGATGTGACCGTTACGGCGCTGGCCGATTCGCTGATGGTCTTTTGCAGCCGCTCCTTCGGAGTCAGCCGAGGGTCGGTTTGCTGCCACGCGTTGATGGTCAGGAACGTGTCGTCCATGCCGATCGCCAGTGCCATGAACGGCGTGACGGACACCAACGGGTTGAACGGCACGTCCAGGTAACACAGCAGCCCGAACGCGGATATGACGGCCATGATGCTGCACAGCGATCCGAGAGCACCTTCTAGGGATTTGCTGCGCACCGGGTTCCTGTCGCCCGTGGAGACCAGGATGAACAGCGTTACGAGCACGACGCTGATCGCGAAGTACGGCAGAGAACCGGACATGTTCTTGCGGATGTCTTCGTTGAACAGGTCGGTGTTCATGAACACGTGCATGAAGCTGGTGTTGTGCAGACGACGCTGAATGTAATTGCCCAGGTCGGCGATCACCTCGCCCTCGCGCCCGTTGAAGTGCTGCTGT